TTTTTTAATTTAATTAAAAATATTCAACAAAAGTTATTTAAAGAAGGGAACAAATTTTCTTATTGTCATTTAATTATTATGTAAAATCATTTGGTCAAATTTGGTAAAAAAAAATTAAATTAAGACAATTAAATATAACAAGAAAAGAAATAATAACCAAACGGCGTCGTATCTAGGTGAATTCCTCCGCAGTGAGCGTAGATGGTCACTACTGGCCAAGGCGTTTTAAGCACACAAACGGGCGGGGCAGTTTGAGGTCCAGAAGCGGCCCGTCTTTCTCTTCTCAAAGCTACAGACTCAAAGGCCATGACACAGTTAAGCCCATACAAATTACCATACAACATGACGCTGGTCTCAATTAACAGTTGCATCAACTTCAATTCCATTGAATCTCCATATACGTTCCACTAGAACGGTGAGCCAATGGCAATCTTTTTTTTATTTAAGAGATAATGCATTTGAGTAGCATATACATATATATATATGTATCGATATATGTGATGAGTAGCATATAAATGTATGGATATATGTGATGAGTTAAGAAATAAAAAAAAATTGACTTTTTAATATATAATTTTAAATAAAAATAAAATAATTCGAATTAAAATTTATTTTGATTTAATAACTCTTTAAATTGAGATTTATACACTTTTAAAATTTTAAATATATAATTCCATAGATTTAAGACCTCACCAAAAAATTTTTTTTTTTAAATTATATAGGGCAGGCATATAATGATCCCCTTAATTTCTTTTATGAAACTCAAATCCTAAACGAGTTAGTAAGTTTCCAAATGAAGAAATTAGGGCAGGATCGCATGCGCACTCTCCCTCTCTTAGTCTTTTACCAGCTTTCAATGAAGTTTCCTAATTTGCAAAAGTTAAAGACTTAAATACTTGGACTGAGAAGTCCTCCAACAACAACTTTGGTCGTCAGTTTTAATGAACCTTGTTTGAACTTTGAACTACAAACACAAGCCGCCCTCTTTCTTTCCGGATATTTGGAAGTTTCCATCATTGCAGAAGTATAAAACAATAACATTTCACAACAGAACAATCCTCTACAAAAGTTTCAGTGAAATTGTAATTCCTTTGCAAAAGTTGACTAATAACAATATTCCTTCGTAGCAACAGCGCTATGAGATCAAAATATTAAGGCACTACATTTCACACCACTTTCGGAAATTTTTGGATCACTAAGAAGTGAGAACTTGATATATACAGCTTGTCTATTAATCTCCAGTAGCCTATGATCCTGATTTTGGCTTCTGAACATAATTAGCAAATGGCTCTCTAATATGTTTTTTTCATTTTGCAACATATATAATCCAGGAATAGGCACAGAATAAGTTTATATATATATATATATATATATATCAAATGATAGGCTATAAAATAGAAAATAACTTTTCCCTTCTCAAACCACTTCCCACCAATCCCAGTATTCGAACTTAGATTTTTAACATGAAGATACGACACATCCCCTTGGGGACAGCACAAACTAAGTTCATACTAGCAAGTTTAGGTCTAGGCACTTGGAAAAGGTTAATTTTGACTTAGCCTATACATGTTTGAGAAATTATAATTAAAATTAAGTTTGTGATGATTTTTGAGTGGAAGAGTTCGTATGTAGTCAAGTTCTTCGGCACTGCATCTCTTTTTAATTGATTCTGTTGCAATCATACAGTTCTCTCCAATGGCAGTTGCTAGGTGTGGTCAACATTTCTAGAAGGATATCAATTCTGACTGACCAGAACACGCGTGCCCTCCATATCATATGTTCATAATCGCACTTCTTCATGTGTTGTGCACTTGTACCAATTCTAATGTCCTTTTCTGTTACATCCCACCACTTATATTATTAGGCATTATGTTTACTGTTTTTGCCAACTAAAATTCGAAACTGTGTCACTCAACTTTAGCAAGTTCTCTGCGGTTTCTCGCCTTCTTCCTCATGGAATCAAGTAACTAAACCTATGCCTGATACATCTCTATATCTGCTGAGCTGTGTATTCAAGTTTGACTTTATTAACGTGTTTCTTATATCATGCAATTGGCAAGCTAACGGGTTTATGTGTATTTCTTGTAATGAACAATAACTGGGTTACCTATTGGTATTCTAATTTTTATATTTCTTTATTTGAAATGGGCATTTAAAGTTAATGCTAAGATAGAACCAGAGTTTCTTGACTCTCAAGTGAAATGATATTCTTGAAATGAACAATAACTGAGTTACCATTCCTATAAATTTTTTCCAGCGACAAATGAGCGTTATTTGTAATTACAGAACTGATGTAATATTAATTGATTTTACAACTAAGAGGGAAAATATGAGATGAAACTCTCTGATTTAACATAAACTCATGAAAACAATACTCTCAAACAGATACATAAAGCTTTTAGAAACAATATTTGCATACAAAACCACTGATTTTCCTCCACATTTCATCAAGAAACTGGTAATATCTGCACCCCGGTGCCTGTTAATCACCAAAGGACCCAAAAAACTCCAGAATCCCACAATAAATCCAAGTGCCACGCTCACAAAGAACCAATTGATTTCCTTTCTGTAATACTATGGATTATTATTATCATTATTATTATTATTTTGAAATTTAAATAAATTATTTAAGCCCTTAGTGGATGTATATGTTATAGAATTAAATTTGGGGCTAGAATTATAGTGAGGTGAGGAACTCAGGGACTAAAACCTTATGGTTAAAGTTCAGGGACTAAGTGGTAATATTCCCTTTTTGTGAAAACCCCCAAATCAAATTGGGTCGGCAGTGCAGTCGGCAGTTATATATTTTTTTGTTCTTTCTTTCTTTCGGGGAAACGAGATCGATTTCTTTCTGTGGATAGCGAGGGGGACTCTAGGGACCGGCCATATTAAACTAATTGAAGGCTCCAAATAGTTGGGTGGAATTGCAATTGAAAGATAGTTATTGAGCTAAGTAGCTATACCTTCAGTGGTTTTAAAATAAATCGATATATTTAAATGGGTTTTGCCCAGATTTGATTTATTCATTTATTTGATTATTTACTTTTCTATTTCTTAGAGAATGATTTTTGCTAAATATTTTTAATGATGGAATGAGATGATTTGAGGATCAAGTATAATATTTTTATTTAAATTTGAGATGAGATTGTGGCCACGTGGAGGTGGCTAATTTAAATATGTTTTCTCCGTTATTATTGAAATTGTTATTTTTGGAACGGTTTCTTTTATTTGTCCTGGCTGGATGATTCACCCTTGTGAGAGTTGAGTTGTTGGTATTGTGATAGATCCGGGATCTATGGACTGTGAATTGTGGATTGTGGAATAGTGAATTGTGGATTGTGGATTGTGGAATAGTGAATTGTGGATTGTGGATTATGGATTGTGGATCGTGTATCGTGGATTGATGATTGAGTATCATTGATCGTGGATTGTGGATTGTTGCACAACCATAAGGGACGAATAATGAAATATTCTGGTTTTAAGGAAAGAATTGTGTTTCTTTTATCGTTCCATTTTCAATAAGAACGCAGTTTTAAATGTTTTATGCTTGGTTGTGATGGATGGGTATATTACTTACGGAGTTCTTAAACTCACGTTTTAAACTCACGTTTTCAAATTTCATCTCATTTCAGGTGAAGAGGTATGAGCATTGGGTCTTGCATGGGGATTGAGAGATCATTAGAATAAATTGGCAGAATTTAACAATAGCTCAATTGGAGGTTTATTTGGTTTTATGGAATAAGATGTTAAACATTTATATTTTGGTTAAGAGATTTGATATTGTTATTTGGAGACTATTAAGATTTGTTAATGGAATTATTTGTTTTTAAATTGCAAGGGAGGTTGTATTAATAGCCAAGGAAAAATGGCCTTACACATTTATAGGGTTAATCTATAGATGTGTGGCGTTTGTTACGCCTGAACCTTTGGGTTGGGGCGTGACACTTTCCATGACCTTCACCTCGTCCACCACTAGTTTGAATGCTGCGAGGTTCTGAACCAACTGCACTGCATTTATCCATTAGTGGAAGGCCGCAAAGTTTGTTGCCAGCATAGCTAAATGCATTGAAGCTCTGCAGCTGAGTACTTGTTGGAATTTTTCCAATCAGTTGGTTATCAGACATGTCTAGGTAACTTAGAAACGTCAAACTTGACATGCTTTCAGGGATTGGACCAGACAATTCATTTACAGAGAGGTCAAGTGATTCTAACATTCTCATGTTACCCATGTTTGCAGGGATCCTTCCGGTCAAAAAATTGTGGGACAAATTCAGTGATGGCAAATATTTCAGATTAGTCATTTCTGTAGGAATCTCTCCTGATAAATTGTTACTTGAAAAATCCATGACTTTCACCAAGTAAAGGATCCTACTGTATTCAAGCAACTGAGCTTTCATCACCACAAGCACATGCTCCAAAGAGTAGCCATTCCCAGAAGATACATTTAACTGGAAGGGGCTGCCCTCCAAAGAATATTCCATGGCACTTAAATTACCAACACACCTTGGAATGCTTCCTGAAAGATTGTTATGAGCAAAATCCAAGATTTGGAGGGAACTGAGTGCACATAACTCGTTTGATGTGTGTCCTGTTGGATTTTTGAGGGTAAGAAGGGAGGGATTGAGAGAGGACTTGGAGGAGAAGGAGAGACACCCGGAGACATAGCCACAAACATAGAACAGAACCATAAACATGGAAGGGTGTAGGCATTCACCCAACCGGAGAGGAGAAACCATGCTCTCTTTCTCTCTCAATTTCATCAATTTCTTCCTTCCTTTTTATAGAGGAAGGCTACACATAAAACAATAATATTTTTCTACCTAAACTATAATTATTAACTACCTAAAACATTGACTAAAATGATGAAGTTTGCTGCCATTTCTTGTAGCCCATGTGAAGTTCCATGCTGCTGTCACTTTGCTGCTACTGTGCAATCATGTTGCAGCATCATTTAGCAGATCTCATTTCACTGCATTTTCAGCTTTCATGCCATAGCTCCAACATGTCCCCAAAACTTGTTTGAACGGAGGCTCAAGATTATCAGCTTTGTAAGGTTAATACCAATCCATGGCGGGATGTTCCGATCTAATTCATTTTCACTGAGATCAAGTACTTGTAACTCAATGCAATTTCTTAGAGAAGAAGGTATTTCTTCCGAGAGGTTATTGTTTTGAAGATGCAATGAGTTGAGGTCTCTTAAAGTTCCAATTGAACTAGGAATTTCACCAGAAAATCTATTCTTAGATAATATGATGATATTCACAGATGACCACTTGGTCCAACAGTCTGGTAATTCTCCAGATAAAGAATTGTTGCCAAGGTTGAGAATCTGCATTGCCATTGTTGCATTCATCTCATGACACAAAAAGTGGTTAATGGAACCAGACAAACCATTATTAGAAAGGTCTAGGAAATACAAATTGGAAGAGACTGGAGGTAAGGGACCAGTAACGTTGTTTGAGTTGAGATCAACAGTGGGAAAGAAGCTTCGCGAAAGAAAAACAAGTGAGGAAGTGGTAACTCTACTACCAGCAGGTACGGTACTATGTAACAATCTATTTGGAAGCTGGCCTTGGATTTGGTTGTGAGAGAGATTTAAATATATAAATTGAGATGACATTTTCAAAAACCAATTAGGAAAGGTATCAGAAATTCTTGAGCCAGACATACCTAAATATCTTAAATATTTTTTAGAACAGAGCCATTGTGGAAATCGTGGGCCTAATTTCCAACCACCTAAAAATAAGCATTGAGTTTGAAAAGGAGGAACCCAAGCAGATTTGACTTTCAAAATAAACGAGTTAGCCCTCCCAGAAAAATATTTTAATTTTGTGAGGTTATGAAAATGAATTTCGAAAACAATACCTTCTAAATCATTATTGGCAATATCAACCTCTTCTATATTAGAGAGCTGACCAAATGACTTGGGAAGATTTCCTGTCAGTTTGTTACCATCCAAAAACAATCGTTTCAAACTCCTAAAATTACGTAGTTGATCAGTCAGTTGTCCGTAGAGTTGACAATGACCAAAATCCCATGATTCTAACGTATTTGAAACACATCCAGAAAATAATTCTAAGATATCAGATATCTTTTGACTGAAGTTGACATCAGAGAAAAAAATTGACCTTAAGTGGCAGAAATTTGCCATTGACCTTGGAATTTTCCCTTCAAGATTGTTATTTCCAGATAAGTCCAGGTGAATAGCTGAGCTCATCTCTCCAATGGCATTAGAAATTTGACCTTGCAAGTTGTTGTCCATTAGATTTAAAAACTCAAGAGGGCTAAAATTGTACAACCAATCAGGTATTGTGGAGTTGAAATGATTTGATGACAAATCGAGGTGCTTCAAAAGAGTTAGATTTTGAAAACCACAAGGGATTGGACCTTCAAAATGGTTTTTTGAAAGATCAAGGTAAACCAAATTCTTAAGACCAAAAACCCAATTGATTATAGATAAGTTTTGAAAATTATGCCGAGACAGATCGAGGGAAGTAAGAGATGAAAAATTTACACTAGAAAGAGCCTCAACTTGATAATGGGGGAGCCGGGAGCCAGCCAAGTATAATCCTACCAAAGACGGAAGGGTATTTATGACTTGAAACCAATTAGAGGCCCTACTAAGGTCATTGAAACTCAAATCAAGGTGTTCTAAAAGGGAAAAATTGGATAGCCAATGGAGATTCTCAACATACAACAAATGATTACCATGAAGATTGAGATATTGTAGATTAGAGAGATTTCTAAGATATTGAGGAACCTTCCCTGCAAATCCTGCTCTGCTGAGGTCAAGGCATCTTAAACTCCTTAAAGAGCCAAAGAACTTGGGAATTTGAATTCCTCTAAAATCATTGCGGCTAAGGTTCAAATAATTCAAATGCTTCAAATGGAGCAAAGAATGACTTATCTTACCGCTCAATTGTGATGTCGCATAATCCTCACGAAAATCATCATCAGAATCATATATGTCCAAATAATCAGTGGGAGCACTGAGGTGCAGTTGGAGGACATGGCCGGTCAAGTTATGGCAGACAACCCCCTTCCATCCGCAACAATCTCCATTATTAGCAACCCAAGAGGCGAGAATGTCTGCTGGATCAACCAGACCCTGCTTCAGCTCTAGGAGGGCTTGCTTCTCCCTCTCTATGCAGACTCCATTGCAGAAGCTAGTAACACTGAAAAATCCAAAAAAGAGAATTGTAAGATTATTCATTGAGACTTCTTTCTGTTAAGTGATTAATTAGGTACTGGTAAATCAGTGATGACCATGTGTGCTATTTATATTCGTCTTTGCCCATAAGGTAAACCTATTGTGCGCATACAGTTAGGGACATATTAAAGTGGACAAAATCTCAAATTGAAAAATTAAGGTGAACCTGTGTAATTAAATATTATCATCCTGCCTAACATATTAAAGTCCTTATGAGTTATTACTCCCTCTATCTCATAATAATATATGTTTTCTAATTTTATATTGAAATAGTGCCTTACAGGATAAATTGTACATTAAAAATACAGTTTACCTTATGAAGTTACTAAAAGGTTAAAACCCCTTTTTGGTCCCTGAACTATTGTACGGACCCCCGATTTGGTCCCTGAACTAAAAAAATCCCTGATTTGGTCCCTACTGTTTACCATTTTTACCCCGATTTGGTCCTTCCGTTAAA